CCATTACTCCGTTGAATACGCACATCTCTCTGGATATATATATGGTATCTCATTTGTATATATTTATATACTCTGTATGTACGTGTGTGTGGGTATAGGTGCACACACACCCTCATGCTGTGCATTTCTGTCAGGGCACTTCAGTTCTGCCGTTCCTTAGCGCTCCTGTTCGTGAGCAAAAGCGACCCCTCAGCAGGGCTCTCGGGGCGAGGGCACCGACATCTGCAGAGGCTGCGCTGGGGCTGAGCACAGCCGAACACCCTCGCTGAGATACAGCCCTGCTAATTGCAGCTTGCTTTTTTTCTGGGGCGCGGGAGGGTAGGTGGCTGCTGCGGGTGTGCTGTGAAGGAGAGGAGGGAGCTCCCAGAGGGTACCAGAAAGTCAGAAGGCAGCAGAGAAGAAAACAAGATGGTTTAGCGATAGGCAAGCAGTGGAGGCACTGCACGGATCTGCTGGGGAGGCGGCGAGTGGGCCGGTGAAGTGCTCAGCAGGCTGAGCTCAGAGTCCCCAGCTGCGTCTTGCCATGAAAGATCACAAGCCCGGCACGGTCTTGGCACACTGCACCGGCACTGGCTTTTGGCATTCCTGAGTTCGAGCCGCCTCCAGCTCTGAACAGCATCTACCTTTGCCTGTGTCTGATACCTAGAGGTTGTTTGGTTACGTGGAGGGGCAAAAGAGAAGCTAAATTGGAAGATGCAAAATACATCTGTGTGTACAATATATGCATACATATACACACACACAGGTGCTCTTGGTCCATCCTTAATTCTGCTTAGGCCTGTGTGCTTTGTCACTCGAGTCCAGCCAGCCTTGTTCCTCTCCTGGGTGCTTGCTCTGCAGTTCTAGTAAATCTTGGCCCTGGTTTTTCTTATAGTAGAGGGGTGAGTGCCATGCTGGACACCACCAGCTCCTCAAGCTGTGAAGACCCTTCTGACCCTCTCCTTTGTCCTCTGCAGACCCCATCTTAGGAGGCATCTGGCAGTTTGCAGCATAAGTGGTTCTTGCAGGTGTCAGGTCACGTATTTACCCCCAGGGATGCCCTGCCAGCTCATCAACATGTCAACCCTGAGCTCTCTTTGTGCTACCAGAAGATTTGGAGCAATTTTCCCCTCTGTCCCTTTTGGAAGGTCTCTTGCGAGTTTTTTAGGAGAGGCTCAGGCTTGGTTGGGCCAACCTTACCCTTTCCCAAGAAGTAGTGTTGTCTTTAGCTGTGCTTCTGCCTGTGGGATGTTCCCACCCCTGTGCTGGCCGGCATCAAGCCCAGAGCCACGTGCCAAGGACAGAGGAGCACTGGATGCCCCGACAGGGATGCCGGTTGCTGTCCCTCTGCTGTGTTTGTTTCAGTTTGCACTTTTAAGAGTCGATTGAGCTGGAGTCCGCAGTCTGTTGAGAAATATGTGTGAGGCGCCTTGGAGGGTTGTGGGTCACTGTTTACAGCCAGAAAATAAAAAAATCGGATAGATCAAGTGGTTCTAGTAAACATCACCCCACCGGGGAGTGATGGTGGCAGATAACCTGGGTTCCTGTTGCACAACACAGTTCAGCCAGCTGAACTGTGATGATGCTGCCTGCTGCATCCCTGCCCCCTTCTCTGGGGGAAGGAGAGCCTTTTGTCAGCTAGAGAGGGACTGAGTAAATCAGATTTGCCGGCAAACAAGCACCTTAACCACCGAGCTGTGGGTCTTGATACTTGCACTTCACCTGAAGGCTCCCTAGGCGGGAGGAAAGCAGTTTGGTACGTGACCATTGGCTCTGCACCTGCCTGGCATCCTCAAAACATCCTAAAGTCGTGTCCTAGGGAAGACAGACCCCAATATCAGCTCCTGCTCTCCTTGCTTTCTCTGAGTACACACACTGAGTCGAGGAACCAGTAACCAGGAGGGCCGAGCGTTGCCCCCACGGATGTGAACAAACCCAGGGGGATCTTCCCCCCACCTTGCCCCTCCAGCCCCTGCCCCGCTCCCCACCCTTGAGTACGGGTACCTCAGAACATGCACAGTTTGAATTTTCACTGACAATTAGTTTAATTATTGTCAGTGAAAAGAATTGTAATTATCTGTAAATATGTAGTTAACAAATTGACCTAGTTTCTGTATTTTTTAAGTTTTTGTACTAAAATTTATAGATACAGTATGTGCCAGCTAGCAGAAAGCTACTGTAATTGCCAGTCGTAGTTCAGCATGCACCTAATCCCCGAGACTTGTCCAGTGATGCTGTAAGGAATTTGTGCTTAAATATTTCGAGCTGGGAAGGCCAACAGCCAGGGCTTTGGGCTTCCAGCCTTCGGCTGGGTTGTTTTCCGTGTTGGCTGTGTGGAATCTCCTTCCCTTGGGTGTCGTGTGCCGTACGGAGGGCAGTGCGAGGGACAGAGCGGTGGCTTGGAGCTTGCTCTGGAGCTGAACTCAACAGGAACCGAGTTCAGGTTCTTTGCTGCAGTTTAATACCGGCTTGTGACTATATTTTTCAGTCTCTCTAGAAATGATCTGTTTTCCCCTTCCGACTGCTTTTGTCTTTAACCCGAGTTCATCTAAGTCTACTGGAGGAAAAAAAAAAAACACAAAACAGAAAAAGACTTTGATTTGAGATCATTGCCTGCTTTTAGTGCCAGGATCACACATTTCTATGGCAACTCTGAGCTCAGCAGAGTGCAGAAATCAGTGCAGGGTTGTTGATGAGCTGAAGTCAGTGGCCACTGCCTCTACACGGCTCTGTCAGAGCCCAACTGTGGCCGGTGGCAGCCGCCAAGGGCGAGTTTGGGGGTGCAGTGTGGTGGCTTGTGGGGGTCCGGATGTCCCTGCCCTGCTGCAGTTGGCTTGCGCTGCAAGAGCTGCTGCTGAGTGAGGGGTGGGCTCCTAGGAATGGTCAGGACCTGTGCTTTCTGTCCTGTAGCAGAGGCAAGCCTGTGAGTTGAGAATAGCTGTGCTGAACATCCCGGGAAGCTGCGAGCAGAGGAGTTAGAGCGCCGGTGAGGCCGTGCTCTCCGGGTCTGGTTGTCCTGGAGGTTGTAGGGGACGGGAACTTGTAGGGATTCAAGGATCAGAGAAGGAGAGGCAAGATGTGCGCGTACGGGTTTGGCTTCTGGCAAGCAAACCACCCGCTTCCTTTCTTCAGCTTTTCTTCCCTCCTAACCCCCCACAGCTCTTCCCCCTGCTTGCTTGGAACAGGATCTTTTTTTTTTTTTTTTTTTTACCTGCCTAGAAACAGCTAAGAGATGGGGGGGCAGCCCTGATTGTAAATAATTAACGTTACAAAGTGAAGTGTGTATAACATAAAAAGGCTACAGCCCTTTGGTGACTTGTAAATGCTTGAGAAGGTCGTGGTAAAGATGTGGAGGGGCCAAGGACCTGCCCGGCCCCGCAGCCATCGCTGCCCCACCGCCACCGCGGGGCCGGCGGGACAGGATGGGGGGACCAACCCTGTGTCCCTCGGCTGTGGGACCCCCCCCTCGGTGTAGTGGATGGGAGGGTAGCGTAACGTGTGTAATACGGATAGGAGAAGCTGTGTGAGGTGTGTATAGTGTATATTTTTTAAAAATAGCTTGCTTGTATTGTGAAGATTTTAAAGACAAACTTGAGAATTCTAGCCTAACTATTAACACAAGTTTAACATCAGTTACCCCACTGGGTTCAGAGCCTCTTGAATGTATATTCCTTTTTGTAACCTAAATGACCTATTCTTCTACCAGTCAGCCAGACATCCTATTTATATTTTTAATTTTATATATTACTTTCCATTTGTTTTCATTATTTCCAGCATGTTTCTGGGTTTGGGTTTTTTGGGGGAGGGTTTGTTTCTTTTTGCACAAGCATTGTGTGAAGACAAGGAAATGTTAACTCAAACCTGGTATTTTCCAACCTGTTCCCCCCCTCCCTTTCCTCTCCTCCACCCCTGTTGTGGTTTGTTGTTTTTTTTTCCTTTCTTCTGCCAACAGTTTGGGATTTTTCTGGGCTGGGATGCAGCAGGTGGGAGGAGGGGATGGCTCTTTTCCATTTGCAGCTTTTGTGCAAATGCCAGGTCTTTTTGCCAGTCAACTTAAAAAAAAAAAAGCAAAAAAAAAAAGCAAAAAAAAAAAAGCAACAAAAAAAAATGCTTCACTTGCTGGTTGCTTTAAAAAGAAGAAAAAATAAAATAAAAAAAAAATACAAAAATGTAACCTTATCAGTGCGATGTAGACCCCGGCAGGAGGAGGGGAAGTGCACACCTGTAGCCACACACCTCTGGCTTTGGCTGCAAAACAAAAGCAAACCTTTCCTGGCAAGGAGGTGACCACAGGGCAGCTGCTGCCCGACCCCACGGAGGGTTTGCCGGGCACGAGCTCGGAGCCGTGCCGGGGAGCGCCGTGCCTTGGGCTTGCTCTTCCCCCCTCGGCGCCCGCCACTTCACGTGCACAAACCCAAGAGCTGCCTGCTGATGACAGCAAAGCTGTTGCTGCTTTTCCTCTCCTCCTCCTCCTCTCCCTCTCCCCTCCCTAAGGAGGTCCAGCTCCCCGACAAGAGCTCGCCCAGCGCCCGGCCCCAGCGCCGTGGCCGTCTGCTCTGGGGCATCATCCAGGTATGGCCAAGGCCATGCCGGGGGAAGGTGCCCGGCCACGCCGTGCTGTGCCACAGAGCATTAGTTAGAAAAAACACACACATATCTGCTGTTTTACTATGAACACTGGTCTGAGGTTTCCAGGCCCAGCACCACGGTGATGGGCCACGAAGGATTTAACCAGGGGAATTAAAACTCCTTCCTGCTTCCGTGTCTGGTAGCACCAGCTGGTATGAGTGAATCTACAGGTGTGCGTTTTCCTTCTTGTAGAAAATGCCACGAGCACTAACTGGTAAGGCTTAATGTACAGTATATTGTCAGTATTCTGGTATTCTTCTGGTTCAACATACATTATAGCTCATATATAACCTGTATTAATTGTATAGATTGTGCATTTAAAGCTGTTACCAAGTTGTCAGAAAATAAGAGAAGAGAAAAAAAAAATAAGGTCATATGTAATATTTTGTTTGTAAGTATCCTTTGTATCATAGCAAAGGAAATGTTAAAAAAAAAAATCAACTGTAATAAAGTAATTTTAGTACACGGAGTGTCTGCCTGCCTTTGTGAGCCCCCCGGGGGAAGGGGGGAGCTACCGCGTGTAGGACCTCTGCCAGGTGAACACGGGGGGCTCGGCGGCGGGACCCCCCCACCTGCGGGGCCGAGGCAGCCCCTTCCTGCGCTCCTCCGTCCGCAGGAACTCGGCCATGGCCCTGAAATACTCCAGCACGGCCTCGTGGCCCCAGCAGCGCCCCGGTGCCCGGCGGGGGAAGCCGCAGTGCCCCCCGCGCGGGGTCAGCAGCAGGAAGAAGTAGGGGCTGCTGCGGAAGAGCTCCATGGGCAGGCTGCGGGCCGGGGGGCCGCGCACGGGGTCGTCGGCGCTGCACAGGCACAGCACCGGCACGGCCGCCTCGTCCGCGTCGCGCAGGGGCTCGTTGCGTTCCCAGTAGACCTCCCAGCTCGTGGGGCGGCTCCGGGTCCGGCAGAAGAGGGATTCCTCCAGCTCCCGCAGCGAGCGGCTGCCCAGCAGCCTGTCCATGTCCACCGCTTCGGCCAGGGACCCCGCGTACCTGCGGGGACGGGGCGGCCGTCGTGGGCTGGGGGCTGTGGGGGACTGCGGGGATGTTGCCGTGGGCTGGGGGGACAGGGGGATGCCACAGGGGCTGGCTGACACTGCTGAAGGTCCCAGGGATGTCACTAAGGGCTGGGAGCTGCGGGAATGCTGCCACGGGCTGTGTGCCAGCCATGGCCCTGCACAAAGGAATTGGGGGTGATCTCAAGTGCACCACCACATCACTCCCCACTCCCGAGGTGGTTTTGGGGGTCCCTTTCCGGCCCCTTGCCGGGGATGCTGGAGGGCCCCCACAGCGCAGCCCTGGTGCCATGGCAACGGGAGGCAGCCAGCACTCTGCTCCGTTGCCGTGACAGCAGCATTTGCAATGGGTATCGGGAAATGGGGAGGGGGGCAGACACTCTACTTACTGCCCACCCCCCACTACCCCCTCCCCGCAGTAAGCAGTGCCTTCTGCACCCATCTGAGCCTTGCCACAGCTTGACTTGCCACCTGTTTGCCCCAACGTTTCAGGGTTTACCTGCATTTTTTTGGCTCCCATTTGCCCACCAGCAGGGCTCTGTTGCCCCCACAGAGGTCTCAGCACCGCCCTGGGAGATGCTACTTGCTCAAGGCCTTGGCCCAGGGCAGTGTGTCTCCCATTCTTGGGCTGCTCGAGCCTGGCTGTGTTGGGCAACAGGGAACCCAGAACCCTTGGGAAGGCAGGGCAGCTGTCACAGCCCCCTACCCAGCTGTGGGTTGACATCTCAGTCCCTCCCAAAGCCCTGCAGGGCCGACAAGGCAGTGTCAGGTGCTGGGGAGAAGTGACAGTGCAGGGGGAGTGGTCAGCCCCACTCACCCCCTCAGGGTCCAGCACCACACAGGGGCTTCATCACCCCCTACAGAGGTGACAGATTTCCCAGCCCAGGGACACTGAGATGCTGCCTCAGCCCCAGAAGGGCTGGTGACACAGGCGGTGGCCTGGCTGGCCCCATGGCAGCTGGCTGCAGGTTGGTGTTCATTAACCAGCACATTTTGCTGCCCTCAGCACCTCTGCCCCGGTGCTGGGGCTCTGGGTGCTGAACTGCACGCACACTCCCAAGGATAAATGAGGGGTTCCCGGGGTACCCCCCTCCACCTTCCCAAGCCCAAGGGATCTCACTGACCTGCTTAATCCCTGCTTGAGGTGGAGGAGCAGCGGCCACTCGTAGAGCCAGGGCATTGCGGCCTCAAACCAGTCCCGACCACGGAAGATGGGGGAGAGGCAGGCGGCGGCAGCCAGGCGGCTGGAGGAGCCACTCTCCCCCAGGTAGGCGAGCAGCAGCCCCGAGCCTGAGCCCTCGCTGACAGCCAGCAGCGAGGCAGTGGGGTGCCGGCACCGCAGGTAGGTCACGGCCTCCCGCAGGTCCCCGGGGTCCCCGAAGGGCTGGAGCCGGGGGGTGGTGAGGGGGCAGCCGTTGTGGCCCCGGCGGTTGAAGATGACGGGGATGAAGCCCCGCTCCAGCGCCCGCATCCCCAGCTGCAACAGCCCCTCTGTCACCTTCCCAGCAGCATTGGGGATTAATAGCAACACCGGGCTGGAGACCACCCCACCGCCACCCGCAGCCCCCCATGGTCCCCCCAGCCAGTCCAAGGCCACCAGCCCAGCATCAGACAGCTGCAGGAGCTCCCGGGCCACCACTGGCTCTGGCTCAGGCGGCTGCAGGAGCTGCTGCAGCATCTGGAGCTGAGGCCAGCGTGGCCATGGCCACCGTCCCCCCCGCAGCGCCGCTGACCGCCCCAAGCTCCGCACCAGGTGCTGGGCCAGAGCCGAGGGCTTGCAGAGCAGCCGGCAGCACCCTGAGCCCTCCTCGGCCATGAAGGGGATCCCTTCCTCTTCCTCCTCTGCCAGGTCTCCAGGCACCTCCAGCCTCCCTTCCCAAAGGCACCAAGCCAGGAGACCCAGAACCACGAGCACTGCGGCTGCGGCCACCAAACCCTCTGGGGACAGCATGGAGGCGGCAGAGCCCCGGCAGGCAGCCCCGGTGCTCAGCGGGTTCGCAGAGCGATGGCGGGGCCGTGCTGGGAAAGCCCAGCCCCGGGGCTGGGCAAACAGCAGGGCTGTGCCGGGGGATGGCGTGAGCAGCCGCCAGCGGGGCCAAGGGGACTGGGTGAAACGGGAGGGACACGTGGCCAAGCCCTGCCTGGCGCCGGGGAGGGGTGAACCCACAGCCCGGGGGGGGCGAGACCCTCCATGGGCACAGGAGCGGGGGCCAGGGGCCCGTGCAATGCTCACAACTTTATTGATACAAATTTACAAGGACACATCTTACAGTGGGGAGCGCGGCCCCCGGCGAGGGGCAGGACGCCCGGGGAGGGGTTCAGGACGCCCGGGAAGGGGGGGCCCATGGGCGTCCCAGTCCAGTGTAATGCCATGGGTGGCCCCGAGGGTACCGGCCACCCAGAGAGGGGCGTTGTTGGGGGGTAGGGGTACAAGGCCACTGCCGCCATGGACAGCTACACAGGCTATGTACAGGATAAGTTAGGCGCGGGCCGCGGGGAGGGCAGGGGGCTGTACAGGGGGACGCAGGCACCTACCCCGCAGGCCGAGCACCAGCTCCTTGACGGCGCGGGGGGCACGGGGAGCTCGCCCCGTGCCCCAGCTCCCCAAAAAGGCCACTTGCAGCCACGCTCGCCCCAGGTGCCGGCAGCTGCCGGAGGGAAGGGAGAGACAGAGAGCGTGGGGGCCGGGGGACACGCAGGGGGGAGGCGTGGGCTGGCGCTCACTGCTTCTTCTCGCGAGTGGTGATGGTGACCAGCTGCTTGGCGGCCTTGGCGATGTCGTAGGCACACTGGATGACCTGCTGGGTCAGGAGCTGGTAGTCCACGGTGGCGCCCGGCTCGGGGGGCACGGTCTTGCGGCACTCGCTCTGCAGCCGGTAGGCGCTGGCGTTGAGCAGCCGCAGGGAGCTCCGCACCGTCTCCAGAGCTGGCTTCTGCAGCAGGGCACAGGACCAGCATCAGAACCCAGGCCCAGAAAGATGACAGTGTCTAGTGGGGACTATCCCCAGCCCAGGAACACAGCACCCCTCTTACCTTAGGGAACAGCGATGCCATCTCCGTCACAGCTGAGTGGATCTTCTCTGAGCAGGGCACGAAGCTGGGGGCAGGGAGAAAGGGTGGGCAGTGAGCATTGCAGGAGACCACTGCTCCAGACCACAGGGATGGCCCTGTGTGACCAGAGCCCCTTGGTCTGGGGGTCCAGAGGGACCCCAAGGCTGTGCACCAGTCCCACCTGTCATGTTTGGACTCCTGTGCCGCCCGCAGCAGCTCCTGGATGTTCTTGGTGACCTGCTCAGTTTTGAGGATGACGTCCTCTGTGCTGGGCAGTCCAGGGTCCAGCTCCCCGTCCAGCGGGTCCAGCTCATGGGGGAAGTCCTCATCCTTGCTCAGCTCCACAAACCGCTTGCCCTCCATGCTGCAGGGACCGACCAACCCCCTGGGGTCAGTGCCAACCACATGTCCCTGTGTCCCCATGTTCCCTGGTGCAGCCCCAGCCCCAGCACTGACCTGATCAGGACTTCACCCCCCTGTGTGTTGTCGTAGTCGCTGTCGGTGCCGCTGCCGTGCCGGTCCAGCTTGCTCTGGAGGGCAGAGGAGCAGCGTCAAGCCCTGCCCAGTCCCATCCCCACACAGGGCCAGGGGTCTCCCCACTCCAAGAGTTGCCCCCCCTCCCCAGTACATCACCATGTGCCGGGCACCATCGGATTGGCAGGAGAGCAGCGGGGAGGACGGGGGAAAGGGCACCGAGGAGGCAGATGGACCTTTCCGGATCTGAAGGGGGAAGAGAGGGAAAGCCAGCGCTGAAAAGGGTGCAGAAGGGTCTGGAGCTGACCCCGGTGACGTGCAGGGGAGCACGAGCACAGGGGACACCGCCACCCTGCATGCAGGAACATCCCACAGCCGCCGTCCCTTGGGGAGGTCCCCGGCCTGACCCAGGGGGGTTCAGGGCGGTGGGGGGACAGGACATCCCAAAGGCCACATCCTGGGCAGGCGACGGCCACCACATCCCATGCAGGAGCCGCCCCCGCTGCGGCCCCCTTACCCGGTACACGCTGGCCGGGATGTGCATGGAGTACAGAGCCTCGTCCTCCACCTCCTGGCGACACACGAAAGGTTACGGCCCCGCGAGGACAGGACCCAGCACCCTGCGGGGCTGGGGAGGCGGTTGCACCCCAAAACCCACCCGCCGCCCCAGCACACTCACGCCAGGGCCGAAGGGCAGCCGCGTCACCAGCTCCTCCACCGGCTGCCCGAAGGGTTTCAGCGCCGAGCCCGGCTCGTACATGGAGAAGGCCTGGCGGTCCCGGCGGTGTGTGGGGGCCGTGCCTGGGGGGTGTCCGTGCTCCGGCCGCTCGCTGGGGGCCGGGGTTGGGTGTGCAGGACCAGTCTGCTGCCGGATTTGTGTGTTCTCTGCCTGCAGCTTGTGGATCTGCAGCCAAGAAGAGCGGGGGGAGGCTTCAGCAAGGAGTAGAATAAAATGAAGGGGGGGGTCGTGCCTGCCCCACACCCACCTCACGCTGCAGCCGGCGCAGCTCATCGCTCAGGCTGTTGTTCACCTTCATCAGCTGCTGCACCTTGGCTTCAGAGGCAGCCAGAGCCTTCTTCACCTCCAGGTATTCCTGCAGCGTGATGGGGCCATCCGACAGGTCGGAGGAATCCATGCTCTGTGGGGAGAAGGGCTCAGCACTGGGATCCCACAGATGGGGCGGGGGTCCGGGTGGGGTCCAGGGCTCACCCTGGCACGGTTGTTGCGGGAGGCGTTGCGCAGCAGCTCCTGGTCTGTGTCCTCGTCGGACGCGACGCTGTCGTAGTCGTGCTGGTCGTCCAGGTCACTCTGGCTCCGCAGAGAGTAGTCGAGGGCGTCTGGGGAAAGGCAAAGGGGTGCTGAGCACAGGGCAGGGAGGGATGCTCAGCTCCCCCTCATTGCCCTCTGGCCCTCACCTGTGGGGCTCAGCAGACTCTTCCCTTGCTGCCGGCGCTTGGCTTCCCCGAGGATGTCGATCAGCAAGGTGGCAAACTCCCTGGCATTGAACCTGGCCAGCTTCTGCCGACCCTGGGGGCAGGAGGAAGAGAAAAGGGTGTGAGCAGTGGCCTGGGTGCACAGCGGGATCACGAGGCCTTGTAGGGGGGAGCCAGGAGGCCACGTGGGGGTGGGCTCACCTGGTTTCGTGTGGCCGAGTACTCAGGGTTGACAGGGAGGAAGGGGACGGCGCTGCGCTCTGTCACCAGCGTGCTGTGGTTCTGGGTCGTTAGCCAGACTACAGGAAGGCACCCGGTGTCAGACCCCGGGGGGCTACAGGGGCTGGACCCCCCTGGACGAGCAGGCTGCAGGGCCTGAGCCGGTAGGACGCAGGCGCGGGCGCGGGGCCAGCCTGCCGGGGCTGGGATTGGAGCCCAGAAGGGCTGACAGGAATCGCCTCCCCCAGCCACCCCGCATTGCTGGGGTACCCCCTGCGCCCCCCAGCAGGGACTCCTGCTCCTCCCGCCTTGGGGCACCAGCTCACCACCCCTGAGCCAACGGGGAGAAGGTCTGTCGTTTCTCTTGGCACCCACAACAGAAATGCCATGGAAACGGGGTGGCCCCCCCCCCCGCTGCCCCCTCAGACCAAGGGCACCCCTCCAGGCTGAGTCCCCACCCCTGGGGGGTCCCAGCACCCACCTCCAGCAGCACCCCAGCCCCAGCACCCAGCGGCGGCCCCTCGCGCTGAGCAAACCTCCCCAGCCGGAGGAATGAAGAAGGAGGGGCCTGCGGTCCCGGCGGACGCATCCAGGGAGGGGGGAGCGCAGGGCTCAGACGCGGCCCCGTCGGCTGCTCCTCCCCGCGCCAGTGACGCCCAGCCCAGCCCTGGGGGGCTGCACCCCGCACCCACCGCTCACCCGCGTCGTTCTCCCGGCGGTCCACCTCGTCGTAGACATCCATGGCCAGCTCCTCAAAGAGGCGGTTGCTGAGCTGCAGCAGGACAGGGAATGGGGTCAGGCAGGATGGGGGGAGCAGGCGGGACCCTCAGCCCTGTCCCGGCCCCCACTCACCGCCTGCAGCTTCTTCTTGGCTGCCTTGGCCAGCTCAGAGAGGTCCAGGCTGGGGGGTGCAGGGAGGGGGGGAGACACGAAGTGGGGGTTATTCCTGTCCCAATCCCACCAAAACAGTCCCCAGCTGTACCCCACCAGGACAGGGACGCCCCCCCTCAGGCATTGGGGGCTTCACCAAGCAGGGCTGGAGGGCAGGCACAGGGGGACGAGGTGGCAGAAGGCGAGCGGGACCCCCCTCCCCGAGTGCCCCCCAGGTGCTGGGCCGGGCCGAGCGGCCAGGGCTGCAGGGGGGGCCCATGCCAGTGGCACGGGGGGCCCCCGGAGCCGAGCGGACAATACCTCTGTGCCATGCACTTTGGGCGCACCCTGCGCTCCGGAGAAGGCAGCGGAGGGAAGAACAGGATAAAGGCGGACGTTAAACGCGCGGGCACGCTGCCCCCCACCCCCCCGCCCCACCAGGGATACTCCAGTGACAGGGGTCCCCCCCTCAGCCCAGCGGGGACGCTGGGGGGGACATGGGACAGGGTGGTAGGGCCGCAGGCACCAGGCACTCACCTGTCAGCCATCTGCGGGATGATGTAGTGCCCATTCTTGTGGTCTGTGCAAAGAGAGGGCCGGTGAGCCCCATGCCCCCCGTGCCCCCAGGGTAACCTCCCCACCCCAGGACTCGCACACTCACCCGGCTTCCTGCCGCAGAGGTAGAAGGCCAGCCGGTCGGTCAGCTCGTACTGGCACTCCACCAGCCGCTCTGCCAGCTCGTGCTGGGCTGCCTGCCTGTGGGAGGGCAGGCAGGGGTAACGCCCACCCTAGGTGGGGGTGCAGGCAGGGGTGACCCCCCCCCTTCCCCGCCCTCACCTGGCATAGTCGATGGGGGTCCGGCCGTTCACGTCGGGTGCCCCAGGGTCAGCACCGTAGACCACCAGCAGCTCTGCCTGCAGGATCTGCCCGGCCTTGGCGGCCACGTGCAGTGGTGTGGTGCCCTTCTCCTGCAGGCATGGGCAGCCTCAGACCCACAGCCTGCCTGTGTCTGCCTGGACAGGGCTCTGGGACCCCCTCAAGCCCTGCACC